ACTTGTTTCTTTCACTTCCAATAATATTTCATTTGACAACATAATGTGAACACAACCCAATACATTAAGTTTTAAATAGAACATCTAAATCTTACGCTCAAATAAACAATTTGTTAGGAAAGAGATTTTTTAATATTAATTTAAAACTCTGCAGAAGAACTCTCTTATACATCATTTATTGCATTTAATTTTCTTTATTTGTGGAATTAGTATTTTCAATTTTCGAAATGCAACTAACATCTCTCTGAGATTTTTCGATTGGCGCGGTGTATATGTGTCAAACCATCCAACGATATTCATTTATATGTATTAAAAATGTGCTCGCATCTTGTGATAGTATTGTTAGTATAAACAACTATCGCACCAACCGATTTTGTTTACAATAAAACTTTGTTTTGTTTCCAAGAGGATTTCTTGAGAATTATATGAATGGGTGAGGATAATCATGACCTCCAAACATTCTTTGAAAAAATACCGATACAAGACGGTGAATTAAAATAAATAAGATACTAACTCGCGTTTAAAATAAATCTGATACTTGAAAAATATTGAAAATAAAAATGGTATGTATCACATTTATTTTCAATGTCGTTCACGTATCAAATTTCAATTCTGGCTAGTATCTCATTTATTTTAACTCATTTGTGCATTATACCGAGTCTCCGAGAGTTTCATATGAGCCTTTCCATGTAGATGGTAAAAAATCGTGAAAAATGAAAACTTCGACGTCGATAAAATCAAGCAATTGGGCAAACGATCCAAATAATTCCATCATCAAATCGTGACCAATAGTGTTTCCGTATCGGTACTGTACACAAAACCAGAGCGGGCTTTGCAATAAAAATATGCACACACAGGCGGACAATCTCGTAGGCAAGAAATACGTTATTGGCATCGATCCGAATGAAAAAATGTGGTTGGCTATAACACGTCGCAACATCCGGAAAACACCTAATGAACCTCAAATTACATGTTTGTATATATGTAAATGTTGCTTGAAAGCTCAAATGAGTGCGTTCAATGTGTCATATTGAGTGTTTTCAATATATACAAACATGTAATTTTGTTTATGCAGAAAACAATAAATATGTGTATTTAAGTGCAGATTTTTATAATTTAGTGTTATTTTATGATAAAAAATCGATGTTTAAAATTTCAGACATAAAGCTGACAAAAAAGTTGATAGTTTTTTTTTACATAATTCATTCATGCAGATTTTGTAAACAATGCGGAATTTCATGCAGAAATTTTAATCGAAGAATCTTTGAGCAAAAACAAAATATATTCCAGAAAATCAAACATGCAGCTCGCTTTATTAATTGATGTGTTTTCTATCCGCGAATAATAGTGCAGATTTCGCGAAGTGGGTGACTGTAATGACAGACGTAAAATTATTTGTTTAGTGTATGTCTAGCTGCATGGTTCAATATAGTTTTCTGACATAAAGCAAAAAAAAAGTTACTTGTTAGAGTGGCTCTTGGTCTATTACAATATATAATTAAAGACAAGTTTTTATTTATTCAAATTATCCAGTTTTGTTCGTTATTATTTTATTTTCTAATTCAAGTAAGCTTTTTTTTAACCACATTGTTTTTATTGTTATCACATTTTTCCTCTTGTCAAATCAAACGGATTCAATATTCACAGCTAAGTAAAACGGTAATAATGCTGATGTATTGTTTGGTCATTCAGCTAAAAATAACAATTTGTTGCTACAGTCTTTGTGCAAGCGACAAATGTCAAAATTTCATATGGAATTTAAAACAAGAGATGTATCTTATGAGAAGAATTCGCATTAAAAATGGCATGAAAAGAAAAATGTATTTACTTGCCATAGAAACAATGGATTTATATGTTAATTTATGTAGTCGAATTGGAAAAATTTAAAGAATAAATAAATTACACAAAAAATATCAAAGCATATAAAGATCAAATCATGTAATAAAAAATGATTTATATTAAATAGGAATCACGTGCTTGTAAATATTTATCAAACTGAATTCATCATCCACATACAGTATAAGAATCATTATAGCATTACAATGGAACAAAAAAATTGGCTACACAGTAATTGGTTGCTTTTGAATCGGTCGTATGTTATTTTATCCTTTCAATTTAATTTGCGATTTTGGAGACAATACAATTTTTCGAAGAGAATGGTTTTCGAATATCGTGAGAAAAATTTCTCATTTAAATTATGTTTCAATGCACAAAATGACGTTGGCATTATTTGATCCAAATGGCATAATGTTATCGTCATAATAAAAATTGTACATATTTGTAAAAATAATAATGTTTTTTCTCCATTTCGATAATTTACAATGGTTTCTTCATGTAGTGACTTATCGTCGCGGATTTTTTTATTTTTGTCAAAATAAAACTAAAAATAATGGGGCTCCATAAAAGACATGTAGCTAGAATTGAACAATTTAAAAACAAAATGTGCAGACGGAATGGCATTCTGAACAAAAGCAAAACATATTTATTATCTAGTATTTTTGTGCTCACTTTACGCAAACATTTTCCACGGAGTGTTCGCATATATTTTCTCGCATTCACAATGTTTATCCCATTTAATTTAAATGGATATGAAATTTTGTTTCAGGGCATTATCCACATGAAATAATATTATACGATAGATTTACAAGGGGATCAAAATATCTCATGGTATACCCTGCTCTTTCGTTTTCTTCGTTTTTCCAAATCCTTTAGTTTTCAACAAAATGTAACTTTTTAGCTTAAATAAAACAAGATTGTATCCTTCGAAAAAAAGAAACCACAAATCCATGATATCAAAATAATTAGCAAGTACTATTGACCAGAGCAGTATATCAGCTATCAAAATATCAGATGGTACGTTAATGCAACGCAATACCAGTACAAAAGTCATCAATCTTATTCTACAGATCGAGTTTCTTCGATTCTGTATCGATTTTACGCCATTGCTTTGAATTTAACGCGTTGTGGATATTCTTATAGTTGATAAACTGCTCTGCTATTGACAGGTATATTGGAAATTGAATTTTGAATGTTTTGAAATGATTTCAATAACCAACTTGTAGTACTTGGCTGTGATCCTCCTTCTAATTGTTTAAAACTGTGTGTGTGTAGCCAAAATGAGCGCAATGGATAAAAACTAAAATGGTACACATGGCATTTAATCAAGACGGTATAGTTCATATATTAGTAAAAAAAAATTAAAAGATGAATCGCATGAAAATTTCACAAAATAGATAAAAAAATAAACTAGAACGATGATTAAAACCCAATAACTCCATTATCTAAATATGAGAACAAAAAAAATACCACGTAGAAAAAAAAACTAAATAGTACATTTTGTGTGTATAAACCAAAATATAGTGTCTATTTATTGAAGAAAGCTAAACATTTTGCGAACCAACAACAAATAAATCAATTGCATTTAGAATCATTTAGAAAAAAGATAAAAACTAATTTCATTTTAGTGCCTCCTGTATACGATTCATATCTGAAAGACTTCAACTCAGAGGTTTTGCTTTAATTTGAATAGAAGGCAATGTCTTCATAATTTCACAGAAAGAATTGGGAATTGTTCATTTCAGAGAAACACTTCAAATCAAGCAAAAGAGAGATATGTAAAAACAAAAGTTGCTCCATTTTCTAAGAAAAAAATAGGTATTCCTTTCAGTCTAAAATCTAGTCAAAATAGAAGAATCTTTCAAAACTGAATGAGCCTAAGATAACCAATTTAACACATTCACCCACGAAAAAGCAATTCTTTTCAACATTTGTAAATACAGTAAGAGTATATTCAAAAGGGAAAAAATGGAACCAGAACCAATGAGAAAAATGGTGGTATTTGCAATATTTAAACGCAAAGCATATTTTATGGAGCAAAATGTCGAAATCATTCATCAACTCTCTCACTCTCACACATTTGCCGTTTCCTTTTTCGTTCTTTCATTCATATCAAATGCCATGTTTTAAGCAAAACGTTTTATGTAAATAAAAGATGAAATTGAACTGTATCATTTTCAATTGAATTGAACTGAAAGTGTCGATGGTTTGAGTTAGACAGGCTTCACGATCGAGACGCTTCCAAGTTTTTTTTTTTTTTTTTTTTTCAAATCAAAAACCTGTCAACCCAAACAAAAACTGTCACACCAATTTCGTTCCAAAAGAAAGAGATTTATATTTCATAGATTCATTACTTTTGAAAAGTTGAGATTTCATTCAATACCAATTTCATCATCCATAAATCATATCAATGTTTGTGACCTAGAAAATGAAACCAAGCATCAAATCATTCATCCAATCAAATTATTTAATTTATTTACATACCCTTATTCTATGTTTGTTGCTATTTCAAAAAATGAAACTTTATTAGAAGAAATACACAAGCACACACAACTGATTCATATATATATATAAAGAGATAAAATAAATATAGACGATGTATATTTATAGAAATGTGTACGCTAATGAAGCTGAAATAGATGGATTGTTAATGTCCAAAAATACCATTTTATTCCTGCGCGTACTCTGTAAAATAGAAGGGATTAAATATTAATCATTTGGGATTTTTCATCAAAATAATCCAAAAGGATTAAATGTTAGCACTATAGGATTAAATTTGAATATATTCTTAGTTATAGTATACTTACTAAAAGTAGCTATAATAAGACCACGATGACATCCCGCACAATACGCAGGGCTTACGGCCGAGAGTTTCGTGCTTGATCTTGGATAGAACGCGATGTTCCTTGTATAGGTTGTTGATTCTGAAAGTAATGATTATAATAATAATGTGAACTTCTAGTTAAACATAGTTAGTGTTCATTTGAATATTCCATAATGAAATTTTCATTACAACTTGATAATTTTTTTACCTGAATGGGTGTTGTAGGTCTTTGAAATACGGGGTGTAGTTCTTCATTCATTACAGCACACCGTCCTATGTTTGAATTGTTTAACAAATAACAAATTCATTACTTATTCTTCATTTTGAGAAATCGATTCAATCAAATGCACAAACCTTTGTATAGTATATTGCGACCGGCGTTTGTATCACGATTCCATGTGATAATACGACCAATTGTCCGTTTTTCTTCGAAGCGTTCTTTACTTCCTTCTGGCAATGGTTCGCATCCACGGCAAGTAAAGTATCGATACTTCATCTTCACACGATCACCTTTCTTCGGAAATTCCAAGTCAATGAGCACACCTTTGTTGTTCGAAATTCATCCACTTTGAACACTGTACGTTATTCTTGAAATTTGTGTAGTACATTTGTGATGCGTAGTTGAATATATTTGATATTCTCTCAATTTTTGAAGCTCTCACGAAATATTTACGACACAAACGATAAATCATTATGGACACCTTGTATCCACAGTTCATTACGGCATCTTCATCGTCGCTATCAAAATTTTACGTCCCTCGGAAAAAATCCTCGAAGAAGTTCTTATCCACAAATTTCCTGAAGTAATCTTCGATTTCACCGTATCGATTGCCATCACAACGCACCTGAAAAATTTTGAAAAACAATTAATGATCACTGAGTGCACCCAAAGTGAAACATCGCGTCATTTCAAGCACATAATCGCTGATCAAATCACGAAATTCATCTGTTTTCATTGGTCGATTGTGTTTCAAGCCTTTTTTTGCACTTTTCTTTATCGTTTGATTTTCACACATTTTTTTCCTCTTTACTGGCTTTGGCTTAGAAGCCGATGCTGCACGCTTCCGTTTCTTTCCAGCCATTGTGATCGAGTGATAGTTTACCGAAGAGCTCTCTTATATTTATAGTCTAAAATCTGTTGATTCAGCAATATATTATTTTTGATGAATTTATAGGTTCCCGGTATTTTAAAAACGGGCCTCTAAAAATTCATCAAAATATACAATCACCGATTCATGTGATCGAAATTGTTCACAATAAACAAACTAACAAAGCGTTCATTTCACTCTTGTATAAATATAATTTCACAAGTCTTCGATGCAAACGAACTAAAAACTTTATTGAAAATCATTCGTCACCAAAGCAAGAATATTCTCAAGCATTTTACAATATGTGTTTCGGTTGTTCACGATTCTGATGGATTTTGAAAACTCAGCAAAATGTTCGCCAAGTTACGCTTCACAAAAAAAAATCGGTGAGCTCAAAAGAGTGAGGTTATGAAATGGAATATGTGCTGATATCAATGCAAACCGATCCCAACTTTTATTGAGAACCATCCGCTAATCACCCTTTCTTCACTTTGTTTCCACTAGCTATGAAACATTTTATCAGAAATCTAAGAAATAGCAAAGAAGCGTTGGAAAAAAGGATTTTATTGAAAATCATCTTTTAACCCTCCTAGGTATAGAGTGAAAAAAAACTTGAACGGATAGAGTCGGTCCATTGGACAAAATGTATGAAAAGTCTATGAAATGAACAAAATTATATTTCTTTTTTTGTTGAAATTTTCATTATAATTTTTTTTAAATGGGAAAAAAGGATGAAAATAAATAATTTATGATAAAATTAATTGGAATCTGATGATGCAGTTTCATACGGTCGCTTTTTGGTGCAGTTCGTACACATCGCAATTTTTTCGGAATGTTCTCCACAAACATTTTTCATACATTTGCTGCACTATGTTCGCGTCTTTCGATTGATTTTAGTGGGACATAAATGACATGCACTTTTTTATCTTGTTTGGTTTGCGTTGTTGGAGTGGACGGTGCTGTTGAACTGTGCTGAGTACAGCTCGATGCGCTTCATTAAATCCATAAGTAGATCTGCGTGCTATTTGATCATACACCAATGCTTCCGATAATTCGATCAAAAGTTTCTTGCGTTGAAATGAATACCGATCTCATGTAATTCCATGTCTTGCATTATAAACAATGAACGCAGCGACTCCACAATGTGGAGTCCACATACATTGATCAAGTTCATGAAGAAAGGCCAACGATTTTTGCCTCGTTGACATGAATAGCTATGACACAGTTGATCTGAATGATCAACGCCACCTTTTGTGCTGTTATAAAATGTGCTGATTTCATCTTCAGAAACCACACTTTTGATCGACAGCAAACGAATCATGTTTGTGTTTCTTAGCTTATATACACATATACGCAAATTCTTTCTTTTTTATTCTTTGCTAAATTGCTGAATCTACTCTATATGCACCGTTTTATAACGCAAAAATCAAAATGTGCACTGTTGACAGTTTTGAATTGTTTTATTTTTTACTGTTTATATGAGGTTTTCATGCATTTTGTATGGGCGGTCCAATGGACCGCCACTATACGTTCTAGGTGAGATTTGGTTTTATCAAATGTCCACAACATATACAATTATTTTATGATAGAAACAGTATGTACATGAATTATAATCTTCTGTACGAATAATCTGCCCGAGAAATTTTGAATTTTTTTAATTAACTTCGATTTTTGTTCAATTTTTTCAAAAATGTCGGTCCAATGGACCGCCTCTATACCTAGGAGGGTTAATAAACAAACCAATCGAAATTCCAACAGAAACAAAAATAGTTTTTTCGACAACGGAGCAAGCGTTTTACACAACATAAGACCGTGAAAGGTTATGTTTGTAATCGAAAGACAATGACAGGCGTTTGAAGTTTCATGTAAATGTCAATGAATGTTTCATATTGTTGTTGTTCCACCAGAATGATTATTATTCATTTAATATTCAAACAATTAATACAATTTAACTGTTTTACAAAACTATTGTATTTTGCATTTAAAATGAATACAAAAAATCTTTCTAGCACCTTCTTATTTCATTTTAATCCATTTGGATTTTTTTTCAAATAAATCTGAAAGGATTATATTTTAATCCCATCAAAATTACAGTGTAGGCAAAGTCTAGTCAACATATATCTGTAGGAAATGTTGTCAAATCAAGAGTGGCAAGAAAAATGCATGCAAACACACATGTACCGTATTTAAATTACTATTTATTTTCGAGGAGGAAGTAAAAAAAATATCTATAATGAAACTATGATCGATAGTGATTCAGCAACGCAACATTTTATTTTATTTGGTCATTCAATGGATGGGTATTAATTCATTTTCGTTCATATTTTTAGCCAAAAAAATTGATTTTAGCGTTGCAACTCGTCACTGGTTGGAAAATACATAACAAATAACCAAAAAAAAAAAAAAAAAAACAAACAAGAAAAAAGAATGAGATAAACAAGATTTATGTAAATAAAATACCACAGCAACAAAATATAGCATTTGTATCGATAGAAATCCATTTATGTATTAACTGATTGAATATAAACAATAAAAAGGAGGAAGAAACTATTACATATTATTCGATAAATGTGTTTTATTTATTTGATCGATGATTTTTTTCTTGGACGAAGATTAATTGGGAGCAAAACCAATCAATTTCAGATAAATGAAATATCAACTGATTTTATCATTTCAATTTTGACAAAAGAAAAACCGTCTATTTTTGCAGATAAATTCAATAAAAAGTAAAAATAGAGTTGCCGATATTCCGTAGCACCAAACCAAGAATGCAGCATAACAATCGATAATTCGAACGCTCTCAAAGTTAGGAGAATGCGAATTACAAGTAGGCCGGTGTGTTTGTCGACGTGCTAGCTCCACAGCTTGAATTCCAGTCTCGCGTATTTTGAATAAGCTGACTTTAAAAATTTCTTTGTACGGTGAATGCTTGTGTATGCCATGCCAAGGATGAACAATTCGCAAGTACTCAATTTCAACCAAACCACATTTTTCATGTTCGTAAAATGTGTCCTTAACATTTTTGTAGCCAGTAGCCAATTCCTGTGTAGGAATCAGAGTTGGTAAATGCACCTCACAATGGCGCGCACCTACAAATTGTGTGCAACTCTTCTTGGGTGCGCGCCCCCGATTCCATATGAATGTTGGGTGCGCGCACTTGGAATTTTTTTCTTGCTTATTCCAATATATGTAAATAGTCGTCAAAAATGTATTTTTTACTTAATACTTTCCATTTTTTATTTGGTCATCTTCAATATATCAATACAAATTACTGACAAATTGTGTTTCTTATATATTTGGAAAGCTACAAGTAGCCGCCTGCTGATTGTCTTTTGAACCACATTGCTTTACATGTAAACAGTTTTTGCATGTGAAAAAATTCTAAATGGAAAAAATTAAGTAAAAAATACATTTTTGACGATTTTTTATATTGAAATGTGTAAGAAAAAACTCCAAGTGCGCGCACCCAACATTTATATGGAATCAGGTGCGCGCACCCAAGAAGAGTTGCACACAACTTGTAAGTGCGCGCACTTGTGAGGTGCATTTACCAACTCTGGTAGGAATAGTGGACACTCAACTCAAATTAAAAGGCTACAATAAAAACCAAAAGAAATACATACCGTATGGAATGCATATAGTCCTTTTCTCATTCTGCCGATGCCATAGCTGACATTCACAAAATTTGAATGTTGATTCGGCGGCGCCACTTTCGTTTCATAGATTTTCTTGCGAATTGGTTCAGTTTCGGTGGAAAAATAAAATCGAGAATAAGGTGTGTCATCAACAGCAAGTTCCATATTGGAATTTAACAAGTCTGTTAATGTTCGGATGCTCCCTGACGTTGATTGTAAAAGGGCAACGATGTTTGCAGTGTATGATGTATAAATGAAAATTAGACACAGAGAGAATACAAACTGTAGAGAGAAAAATCAAAAACTCTGCATTATTCGAAATTGATGTCGAAAAAAATACTGAATATTCACTGTTGCAATTTTTCCAGACATTCTTTTTGGAATGAAATGGGTTCCCATTTGACATATCGTACCGATTGCGAACAATACGAAATCCGTTGAAATTAACTCTTGCTCGTTGTCCTTTGAAAATTGGTAAGTTACAAAGATAATCGATGTACTCACGACGACAAGAATGATCCCACAAATCCACACCATTCCAGAAAATGGGAGATAATACAAGTTTGAAACCTGTGACAGTGGAGGATCTCGAAAAACGAACGCGAGTCTGGCAAGCAATGTACATGACAAGTATTCAATGTGTGGCACTCTGTCGGGTGTTATGAATAAAACAGTGCCTAAAAAGTGTCGAAAACACTCGATAAAATGATAAGAACGAAGATTTTCTTTTGCTCTAATTACCTCCAATATCAATCTCATTTCTAACCAATTGACCCATCATTCCAATCAGTTTGTCAGGTTTCTTCATATCACCATATCCCCATGTATTTTCAAAATTATAAATAACTGTAGAGTTTACGGATTCTCCCAGAATGTTTGTGATAGCATAGCCAATTTTTGCAGGAAAATCGATGTGTGATAGCCTTCAAATAATTTTTATTGATGGACACCATTTAATTTTCGAAAATTGCATAGTAATTACCGATGATCGTTCAATTGGTCGATTGATTCGTTTTTCGTTACAATTAAAGTTGACTTCAACACTTTTCCACGGAAATCACTTCGTCGTCTGGATAAAATTCTTGTCACACGTAAATCAGTCAAACCATTTTCAACATTCCAGTATCCAAATGTTTCATTTATAAAATGCGACTCTTTATCAATCTTGTAAACTAAATTTTTGTTAAGTTGAAGAAATATTTGCTCCATATTTTCGTATCATTTACCTTGTTTTAAATTAAATCGATCGTTCTCTGTATCAAAGTTGACCAAAACTACGTTACTATCTGGTAGAAACATCAATTTAGTTAGATGATGTTCAATGGGCTCAAATAAGATCCAACGGTACGGGTGACGGAAATATTCGCCATTGTTTAAGAACGAATGGCTATCATTGCAACGCATATCAATGAAATGCCATAACTTATTCATGCTGTCGTCAATTATGCGCGGCGCTATTCCAAAATGGCGATTCAATTGTACAGGAATTTTGGATGCTTTCACAAAGCGAAAATTATCAAATTGTGGCCAACAACTAAAAACTGATAGAGCTGATGGAACGTTTTCATTTATAATCAAATCTTGAACTAAATTGGAAATAACGTTTATGTCGTGACTGTGAGAAGCCAAGATTAAACTTAGAAAAATGAATGCTGTTTTCATTTTAATAAGTTGATTAACGAAATTTGTACACAAATCTAAGTAGAAATTGGACAAATGCAGGCTTTATATAGAAAATAGACTGTTTAGTCTGTGTTAGCTTTCTTTCAATTCATGTTTACGAGTTTTGAAGAAGCAGACACAATAAACTATGTAATTTTTTCTGTCTACTTTCTACGTTATTATCAATTACGATTTATCACCCAATCAATCCGTAACACATGAGACATTCAGACATGATATTAAATGTAATATGGAACCTTGAAGGACTTAATCTATTATTAATGAGAATATCACGTGACGCTAGTGCATGCAACACCAAAAGAGTTCTAGGTTTATTGTTGAAATCAATGACATTTTTACGTTTCTGTAGTACAAATAAAAAAAAATCAAAGCTGTTAGTACCTATACTACACATGTAAATGTTATCTATTCATCTGATAAACCATATTTTAGAATAGAATCGAAAACTTCTTTGATATAATCCAACTTTGCTTCCGCTGACTTCATTCCCTTTTTCTTATCCCAGGCATACCAATCAGCATATGCTATTATTTGATCAAATTTCGGGCTTTTGGTATTATTATCACCAACAACAGCTTGCTGATACAATGCATACAGTTCTCGAAGATCTTGGAATTCGGGAGTAGTTTTGAATTTTTTCGCATCTTTGACTGCTTTATTGAAATATATCTCCAAAATCTGTTATTCGATTAAAAACAAAAAAATCCATTCCATATGTGTGACTCCATTATTCTGACATTACTTTAAAGAGGAAAAAAAAAACACCAAGATTTACCTCGTTTTTCGATAATCCTTTATCCATAAGGGGGTGATATTGGCCTGACTTTCGTGATGTTGACGAAGAAGATTTTTTCGAAGATGATTTCGACAATGGAGATTTTGGCGAAGATGATTTTGATGAAGGTGATTTTGGCTCCGACATACTTTCAAAAAGCTCTATATAATCTTTGGCCGTTTGTGGTGCTATTAATACATTGTCTTTCATCACTGCTATTGGCGCTGGTTTGAATTTCATTTTGGCTTCATAATCAGAGATCATTTTCTTTACGTTCAGGTCTCCATTGACTACCAAATACTATAAAAAAAGACAATCGAAATTGCAGTATTAATTAAAACAAAATCGAAACAACAATTAAGCCTTGTTAATCTATGCAATTTCAGTGAAATATTTGATGTGAAATATCACACTTAATTAACTTTTTTAGCTTAATTTCCATCGATTCTATCATTAAACCATTGATGACAGAACAATTATCAAAACTTTGTTTACAAAAAAAAAACACGCGTATTCATGATTAAAGTATATGAAGTTATTTAAAAATAAATGAACTAGTTGATTCTGTCATTCATCAAAAAATGTAATCGAATTTTAGTCACTTTATTGAAGTTATCTTTAAGTTCACCTCTGAAATTAAAAGCCCAAATAGCAACAACGTGAAACATTTCAATCTCGACATTATTCTTGTTTCAATCGAGAAATTTTACTGATACTCATCACCGAACTGTTCTCGTTTTATATGCGTCAGATCCTTATGAATAATGACTTCATTAAAAATAAATGATATCGAAAACACTCGCAGTATGAATATTTAATGCATATATGCAAAAAATTTAAAATTGAAATGGATGATTTTTACACAGGTAAAAGTATTTGGATAGCGTAATAATAATCGGACAAAATGTTTGGTAATGTTTTACAGTTTTTAATTTTTTACACACAGTATCCAAATATATATTTAGATTTGTGATTCAAAATGAGTCCAACCGTGAACAGATAAAATTTATTGTAATCAGTGACAGACATTCACACACATTTCACATCGATATTACTTCTTGGTGTAGTAATTGCAGAACAAAAAATTAATTTCAAAGTAAAATATAATTTAGTAATCTCATGCGTCATGCATCCAATGCTAAAAAGTTCTATACGAGTAAATGTGAGCGCTTCACATGTGGCACATGTTGCTAAAATATAAGCATTCAACGAGTCACTGTGTATGGCTGACTCAGAATAGCTCAGACATTGAAAAACCATGGAAAATTACAGATTTTACACTCGTCCACATTTATGCCGATTAAGTCGTTCTACTTACCAAAAAATCAAACGTCGTCCAAATATTCAAATGCATTTATTGGGCTGCTTCGTGAAATATTAGTAGTATATTAGAACTGCAAATTTATTTTTTGAGCTATTTTGGGATTATCACATCAAAATATTCACGTTTTTTATAATTATTTCGTTTTTGGTTTCGGGTTGGATATGCAATCGAAATTTTTGGTAACATATTGATATCGTGGGTAATACTTTTAGTAGATAAACAATAAAAACTTTTTATTAAAAAGATATCCGGTAGTTCCATTTCAATCAGTACAATTCAAAAAAATCCAAAACTTTGGAATAAACCATTTCTGCAGCATCAATGCCCCACAAGAAATCGACATGATTAAATTCAGTCTCATTCATAAAATAAACCGATTTTAAACTATTATTTAGTTTGGTCAATAGCAGATTTACATCTTTTAGCATGGCCAATCTATCGGTAGATGAGTTAATGGCCATGGTTGGTACTCTGATTCGCCAAAGTTCAAAGTCAGGTGTTACTTTCGAATTTTCAACAATGGAATCGTCTTCCATGAATTTTCCGAAGTTTCTATACCGAATCCATTAAGCAAAAAGCATTAATTGTTTTGTTGAAGTTCCACTTGGCGTGTGGGCCAAAAATGTTGGAATCATTTCCTGTTATTGATTCAATCACAACAATGAAATCCAAATAGAATATATCCTGGTCATTGATTTAAACGACATACTTTATTTCTTTGTTTTTCACTTTGGCCAAGAAGGATATCAAGAATTCCTTCGCACACATTTTCCAAGCCAGCATCACATAATCAAGTCGTGTTCTGGGACATTCGTTTGGGAAAAAGTACCGTATAGATGAACGGCTGAAATTGTGTTGAAATTCAATTTAAAAAATGACTTTATATTATCAAAATTATTGGATTACTTGAAAAATGTTACGAATCCTTGACGAAACTGCGTGAAACCAGATCCGCATTGGTAAAGTTATTTGTATCGCAAAACTAACGTCATATATATAAAAATCCCCCTATACACATTTTTGAGTGTTTAAAAATACATTAAATATCACTTTTTGAATTTTTCCGATGGATGGCCATGGGCATCACACCAGACATGACACTTCAATCAATCAACCAAAGTCGCTCAAAATCTAATGGTTTCTATTCCTCGGCACCCCCAATCATCCTGTGAAGTCAGATTTTGAATTACTTTTCTTGTTTGAAAGTTATCGTGTTAACAAATTTTTGCGTACATTCGGACATCGAAAAAACGCCAGATTCGTGTTCCCTGGCTCCTAAAACACCCAGAAAACATGTTTTTTGAGGGTGTTAATTTTTCGACCGATTCCAATACTTTACCTTACACACTAGGTGTGTGCGGAAAAGTAAAAAAAACAAAATTTATGTAGATTGAGTTAATAATGACTCTCTCAAAAAATTCAATGTATCAGAAAACTTCAGTGTGGATCATATTTTATTTTTAACAAATTTCTTGAGCTCACGAATATTCTAACCGATTCATATGATTATTAAATTCAAAACATACAATGATTTTTAGATAGGATAGATGCGTAAGATCTCCGCAAGATCCAGATCCAAGCGTGCGTACGCTGCCGCATGATGCATACATATATAATACGCACGCAAATTCGTTATTCTTATTTCCCCTTCTTTGATTCGCATGCCATAGCATTACGGAGTAAGGAATGTATGTATCATGCGGCTACGTACGCACGCTTGGATCCGGATCTTGCGGAGATCTTACGGATCTATTCTATCCAAAAATCATTGTATGATTCAAAATCATTATTAATTAAGTTTTTTTTTTAATTTAGGCAAAAACAAAATGCCGATACCGTTCGACTGCCATCACTTTCGTTAGAAACTGAATCGGGAATGACATCAAAAGTCAATATTGCACCACCGGCCATCATAATAACAGCACAAAGTCATCCACATAATGTAAATATATCATATTTATACAATATAATCATATCCTAATAATATTTATTTTCAGTATGGCGATAATAGGCAAAAGAATATTGAAGTTAACAAACTCATTGTTCCAAAAGCTGTGAGTAATGAATTTTAAATTTTTAACTTACTCAAAGAAAAATTCATATGCATTTAAACTATTCTTCGTCATTTTACATACAGCCAGTATCGCTCCAAAAATGAGCTTTTATTTCGAACATACACATTAAGTTGTAAAATAAACTAACGTATATATTTCACATATATTGTGAATATTCTACAAGGACCCTTTTTTTGTATGGAGAAAATCACCATTTGTATACCAGGCTGATCGAAAATGACGTGACTTTTTGAATGAAAGGTGTCACTTTTTACAGACTGATATTATTTTTGAGAAGTACTACCCATCAAACTTCTGCATCACAAAGAATAACTCAACGCTTTATACCATTTCTCCACTCGTATCTAATTAACATTCAAAGCTTCAGCCCAATAAAAGCTGTTCATAAATGTAGAATAAATGCGAGTGGAGCAGGTCATATAAAAATGGTACAAAAAACTGTTATAACTTCACAGTCATTCTTTGAACCAAATCCGTCCTCGGACCCAAAAGTTACAGAGCTTGAAAGAGACCACCTTCAAAATACATCTCAATTCCACATTTCATCGTTTTATTTGGGTGCGAAGCAATTATATAAACTATTCTTCCACTCAGAAGACAGGTAGAGGTCTCACCAAGCCACACCAGAAATATCAAAGTGATTCGTTATTAAAGTCATCTAAAATTGCCATCGTCTGAACGACTTTGAGAGACACCTTTTTGTGAAATTTTTGGAACTTATTTTTTGTTGCTTTTGAGCAACAGTATTCAGTAAACAGTATTTTTTCTATTCAAAAAATTTGGAAATATCATAAATTAATCTTTTGGCATCGTTTCGACTTATTGCAGATGATAAAACAATATTTTGGAAAATACACTAACATGAAAGGCGAGCTCAAACAAAAAATGCGATTATATGGCTTTTTGTGGACATATCGGTTTTTGATGACCGTGTAGACTATACCTTATCGCAAACTGCATTGAATAGGTTCTGTGGGATACTGTTAGTTAATAATCAATGAAAAATATTTATTTTATTAGTGCATCGAGTCCCTTAAACATCGCCTTAAATCTACCTCTCGAAACCATTTTGAGCAAATGATCGAGTGGAATTTTCTTGCCAATAATAACTGTTCAACATGCGACTTGGGGTCTATTGTAAATAAATCACTAAGATATCGCACACTTTTAAAGCGATACCTTGGATTTTTTCAGACATTTCTTCAAAAACTGCCGTTTTCGAAGTGTTCGTTTCCTCTGCCTCTATGACCACATCCGAAATCAATAGAGAATTTCCTTCTGGCTCTAGTAGATAGAAGAGAGTCCGAACGATATCACTAAGCTCCGAATGATACCACCAAAAAGGCAGAGGTTGGTCTCTTTCAAGCTCTGTAACTTTTGGGTCCGTGGACGGATTTGGTTCAAATTTGTGATGTAGAGGTTTGATGGGTAGTACTTCTCAAACGTAATTTTCGATCAGCCTGGGACACATTTTTATTCTAATATACATAAAAAGACTTTTAAAAATATATTGTCAAAGCTTGATTGAAATTGATAATGTTTTTTTTTTTTTCGTTTTAGCTTAATGGAAAAAAAGATATGGATTCGATTGCCAAAACATCAAAATTTCCATTTCTCTTTGACAACAATTACATAGAAAATGGTATACTTTTCATAGAGTTATGCGGGGTAAACAGCTTATTGCACTTTTTCATGTTTTTATACAAAGAAAAACCAAGCTGTTTCCCGACTCGCATATCGAACAACAACATCATGTCGATTTTGCGGAATGATACCGACGACTCAATGCGTAATTTCCATGCCAAATTCATTCAAGAGAATTTTAAAGTCAAGGAAGGAGTGATAAACTGCCATGATAATGTCATCGAATTGTATGCGAAAATGTTTGCGAAGACATTTACAAGCTGGAAATGTCAGTGCGGCTCACACTGGGATTCCGCCATAAATCTGAATAGCCATTTTCAAGAAACGTACAATTTCCGCGAAATATCTAAATATATAGGTTTTCGTAGAGGAATATGCGTTTCCTGTAATGAACGATTCGCAGATATAACTGAGTTCGGTGACATTATTTTTGTAGATGTCCAAAGAAAGAATGCAAACGAAAACTACACTGTTTTCTATTCAGAGCTTCAAAAAACAATGCATTTAAAGAATTCTCGTTCGGAGTTAAACATATTTGCGTTGAAAGGAGTAATCAACCGCTATATCTCTCCAAAACACTATACGCTCTATTATTTATGTGAAGAGGGCAAGTGGTATAACCTCGATGATATTGGCGCTAATGTGAACGAGATCAAAAATCATATAACAGGAGAAATCGATAATCCAGTGGTTCTGATTTATGTGAAAGAGGTGCTGATTTTTTTTACTTTGTTTTTCTTTTCATTAAGTAAAATAATAATAAACCAACTAATGAAAATTGTACTTTGATTGCTTGAAAAATTGCTTTTGGAATGAAAAAGCTCTCCTGATTATTAAGCGCACTTCATTTATTGAAAAGAAATTGTAATCATACACACCTTAAAACTCTTCTAGGTCTTGGACAATTTTTATTGCAAAAGTGTTGCCTATGTTTTTGCTCATGCAAAATTTCTATTTAGGTTATCTTAATGCATGAAATTACCGCAATTTGCGAGCGAGTTAAAATTTGAAATTTTTGTAATTTGCAAACCTAGAAGTGCTTCATTCTAACAACATGTCAAGCGACCTACGTATATTTTTCCGACTTTATAATTTTAATTTATTTATTAATTTCAGTCTTGATTACATATGCTTAATAAATTCAAAATCAATATTAATTAAGTTTTCTTTAAATTTAAGCAAAAACAAAATGCCGATACTGTTCGATCGCCATCACTTTCTTTACCAACTAAATCGGGAAACACTTCAGAAGTGAATATTGCACCACAAGACATCGTAAAAACAGCACCAAGTCATCCAGATAATGTAAATATTTTTTACTTTTTATTTTTTTGAATTGTGAAACTCATTGTTCCAGAAGTTGTGAATGACGAATTTTAAATATTTAACTTATGCAAAGAAAAATATTATTTATATAATTATATGCATTTAATTCATTCTTCGTTTTTAGTCTAAGCTTTCCGCACCGAAATTGAGCACAATATTTGAGCAGAGTGACTCTTACTCATTCAATGATGATGATGATGATGATAATGATGATAATGATGATGATGATGATGACGTAAGTAAAAGTTTTTTATATGATGTCAGCTGGAGGTAGAAATGCTAAAGTCATTTTCATTCTCACCGACAAATATTTATAAATCTGAGATGAAATATAACTTGGAATAATTCAACTAAAAATAAACCTTAAATGACTACAAGTCCTTATTATATCGCACTGAAATTTGACTCAAACTAAATAAAGAAAAGGTGGCACAAGATTTATATGAGGTTATATTTCATCACCTGTATTACATCTTTATTTGCACTATTTTGTTACTAATAACTGCCCTTTATAGGATGGGACATGTCCACATTGTGATAAGCCACATCATGACCCACAATCGAATGAGGCTAAAAAATGCGAAACTGAAATACAGAATATACTCAATGTGAGTATAATAGAAAATATTTGATAAATGCCTAATTAATTGATGTATAAAATCGTAGAAAAAACTAAAACACATTAACAACATACAGATCCAAATAAGTTAGACGCCTATGAGGTTTATTATTGGGTGCGTCAATTAATTTTGAAGGATTTTTGTGTTCAAAAAAACATTCATTTCAAAACTAAATGAATGACTACAATGACCAATGTATTGCCCATCGTTAGCTTTGACTTTCGCCCATCTTCTTGGTAGCTTGTCGCTTCCGCGTCGAAAGAATTCCTCGTCTTTTGATACTATCCAGTCATCGGACCATTTTCGCACTTTTTCATAATTTTGAATGTGTTCATCGAACAGGCCGATATGCATCAGAACAAGTGGAAATCAGAAGGAATATCTGGAGAGTACGCAGATTGATCAAGCTCATCTCGACCAGAGTCCCCTATCTTTTTTTGGGATGTTTGAAATATGTCAAATTTTGAAAAATCCTTCTTTTCGACTATTATCTCATTAGTACGGGTTGCTGATGATGACAAGAGTTTTGTTGAAATGTATACAAAAATAATTTGAATTTTATGATTAGTTTGATGATTCTAGAGTATTAATACTCTACGATTTGTGTTTTACTTTTTTCAACGTTCAATTTACAATCAATTGATATATGTTAATTTATAATTTTCTTATTTTTTAGTTTCAGGCCGATAGTAAAATTGTAAAGCCCAATAATTGGTTAGAGGCAGATCTCATAGAAGATTTCTTGAAATTCATTGTTTTTCCGCAGGGCTACAAAAAACAATTTAAAGTTATTGCGCCGAGTACTTTAAATATAATGGTATACTTTTCGATGAAGGGAGAAATAAAAAAAATAAAAAAAGGTATTTCGAAAAGCCATCTACACATTGTTCACTCCCACAATATGCATTGGGTGGTATTTAATCGAATTGTGACCAAGAACCATAAATTCGAGATCAATGTGTACGATAGTCTATATGGCATCAATGGGAATAGAAAGCAATGGTCGGTGGTGGATAAGAAAGCCATGAGTACGTTATATGGAAAAAAATACTCCATATAATATCGTTCCCGTGGCAACAACACAGCCACCTGGAAGCGGTGCTTGCGGAGTCTTCGCAATTG